TGGAAGTTAATGTATTTACTTGTAACAAAACAGGTCTAATCTGAGGTCACTGAGATAACAAAAAATGAAGCCCCAGCAATGCCCTAGTTGAAGTCATTTCTGAGCAGACCCACACTTGCAGCATTGTTTCTTCTCTAGGGAGCATGCAGCATCCCACTAGAGTCATCTCTCTGATCACGTGACTTACTTTCCATTATGAAATAAGTTTGCCTTTCAGGAGGCATCAGCAATTAAGACACTTCAACCCCATCTCCTTATCCTCCCCTGCACTTCTAAGACAAGCAAAAAATAATTCCTTAAAAATTTGACCTGGCACAAATGTACCCCACCTCCATTAGTGTTGAGGTTTCATTCTCTCCAAGGCAGAGGCTGTCCACATCCTTCAAAGTCACTGATATCCACAGTGAACACTACAATCTCATTGTTACTGCCAGTCCCTCCTAGTGCCACTTTGTCTCCAAACTGCACAGGCTCGTTAAAGTGTAGCAGAAAGCATTAGTCATTGCACTAAACCAGGAGACACTGGCCAGCTACAACGTGACAGCGCTTAACAATATCAACTGAATTTACAGGAGAAAGCAGCTGGTATGAAAATAACTGTATCTACCTCATTCCCTGACATTCTTCGACTTGCATGCGCTCAGCAGTTTGTTCAGAGATGATGATGAATCATATTTAATCACATGCTATTAGAGGAGGATAAGACCACACAGTGTGTCTAGGTTAATAGGTAGGAGATGGGCATATCTGATGCCAGCTTAAAAAAAACCCAATTCCGTAGACAGAATTCAAATCACAGAATTCTCTTTAGGAAGTGTGCCTTCCCATTTGAAGGATTAGGCAAACAGCTCTGTCCTCCATGACTTCCAGGAGGACAAAGTGCCAGAGAAAACTAATTCCCCTGCATGAGATTTAGCCCCATGACTCCGACTAAATAACTTGGAGTGACGTGTGTCAAGTTTGTGGAAGAGTGAAAATTAAGTGGGGGTGAGCAGCATGTACCTCTGACCTGGAGGGGAGTCCAAGTTTAAATCACGTGGCTGTTTCTATGGTGAAATTAGGCTCATTGGTTGCCTTCCAAGAGAAATAGGTGCAGTTTAGCTACCTACATACTGATACATACATACCTTATCAGTGTGGCATCTACAGCAAGTTTTATTTATACTGCTTGAGGCATTTAAAAGTGGACAAAGCACTAGAAAATGTAGTACAGGAAGATGAATGGGATTGCCAGTGTAGTATTTACCATCTCTACCTTCTGTGGTAACTCAACACCATACCATCAGGTTATTTTCCCCAGGCAGTGGCCATAAAATTCTGAAAAAAATGAAGCTATTCATTTACAATCTGACCTGCACTTCAGTCAGCCACTACGCAGCTCAGTCGGGTGATCCCAGTGTTTTGCAGAAGTGTTTTGACCCGGACCTGCTGTGGAATAAGATTTCAGCATGGCCATTAGGGAAAATGAGCTGGGCTTTTTCAATTCATCGTATCCACTTTGTGCACTCTCGTACATATCCGGTATGTTGGGCAACCTCCGGCTCCAATGCCGCCCCTTGCACTTCGGAAGTCCAGTGGAGTCTTGGTGTTTTAAGAAACCTTGTTCTAACCCTAACCTGCAGCGGCAGTGAAGAGCAGTAAAGGGGTTTGCGTTGCATGGCTCATCATACTGAATATTAATCCCAGGTAGTACTTATTGTCCTGTTTTTTTTTTCCATTCAGCAGATTAGAGATATCCTTAAATTGGCCATGAATACATTTAAGCTGGGAGTTAGAACAAGATTTCTAATCATCAGGGAATAAGGATCTTATAATATAACTGGGAATTGGTCCTGCTTCGAGCAGGGGGTTGGACTAGATGACCTTCTGGGGTCCCTTCCAACCCTTATATTCTATGATTCTATGATTCTATGATCTTCCAGTAGGACTAGAAGGGGCAGACAACCTAATTAGCTTTTAAGATGAAGCTCAATACATTTATAAATGAGACTGTATGATAGGTTGTCTGCAATAGGATTTGATGAGCTAGGATTGAAGGTCCTTTCCAGTTGCGTGTTTCTAAATGCCTCCACTCAAGATTTTCAACAAATGGATGCCTATGGTTAGGCTCCTAAGTCCACAGTTAGGATCTTTGGTAAGTGGCCTCATTTTTTAAAGTACTGAGCATGCAGCAGCTCCCACCATTAGGAAGAGGTGGGTATTTAGAAAATCAGGCCACTTACTCAGGTCCTTTAATATGGATTTAAACTCCTAGTTTTAAGCCAAGATTTTCAAAAATGGTTGCCTTGTCTTTCTTTTTCAGAGTCCTGACCCACTGTCCCCTCACTGTAGCAGATGATATACATAAACACAAAAAACAGAATTTTATTTTTCAACTTTGTTTAAAATCACTTTTCATAGCAATGTGGAAAAAATATAGACGTGGGAACAGAAGCTCCACAGTACAGGAGCCCAGCAAAATGGAAATCAGTACTGTCAGGAGGGCCAGATATAGGGCCTTCTAAATCCTACTGTTTTTACTCTGAGAGTCTTATAGCGTATAGGCCAAGGTGCATGCATTATAGGCACCTGATCCTATGGAGGTACTGAGTACATGCAACTCCTATTAACTTTAAGCCAGTTCCACAGGTCTGCTGGAATTCAGTTACAATTCATTAGTCCTGTGAAAACAGCAAAATATCAGTGCATTTGGGGACAGTGTCAGCTGTGCATTTACAGTTTTCACAGCAGTTGAAACAATATCTCTGCAATTATAACCATTTTATTATTACAAACAAAACTGTGTACTCAACTGTATATATTAGAATAAGACTGCCGTGATCGTTAAGTTATATTGAGTGAAAACAATCCCATTATGTTCTGGAGTTAGTACTGGAGGCAAACCTCTCTTTGTATTATGCTCGAGTCAACATTACTTGACTCTACCACTTTACAATAAGGAGAATGCATGATTAGTAATTTGAACCTCTAAAGGCTGACCGACTCTTAGTAATGAGATACAGCCAATTTCATCTGTTTGAATGCCAGCCAAGCTCAGGGGTGACCCAAAGGTATTACCATCTGAAGGCTTTTGTGGCCTCTGTGAAATGAGCTGGTGCTCTCACTCCAGATCCTCGCAGGAAGGGTTTCCTGTCATTCACTCAAAATCAACACTATAGAGCATCATTGTTGGCAGACTCAGCAGAGTCCCTGGACTGGCTGGGGCCTGGAGAGTGAACTAAACTCTCCTACCTAAGAGGAGCATATTGGAAGGGTAGCATTAGAAAGCATGCCTGGTGCTGTACCTGCTCTATGGGTAAGTGAGGATTTCTCGCCTTGTGTCTCTCAGACGGGCAGTTTTCACAGCTCACATTTTAGAATAAAAGGCTAAGGCCGAAAAGTGTACCTCTATTAGGCACAATCGGCTACACAGTGTATATGGCTCATCTGGCCTTGCAGTGAGCTGTAGCTCACGAAAGCTTATGCTCAAATAAATTGGTTAGTCTCTAAGGTGCCACAAGTACTCCTTTTCTTTTTGTGAATACAGACTAACACGGCTGTTACTCTGAAACTTTTCCCTTGTATGCCCACCTGAACATACACATTTGATCACCCATTTAACTCATCTTTGGCAAGAAAATTAATTTAGTTTCATCATCCTTTGTGTCCTGAAAGGAAGGAGGATAACACACTATGTAATTAAATCACTTGGTTACAATCTCCAGTGAACAGGATGTCAACTTATTACTGTACAGAAGACTTAATAAAAGTTTTTCATCTGACAAATGGAAGAATTACAAGGCAGTGGATCTGTGTTACTCAAAACAAAAACAAAAAACCAACTACAACTGATAGAGAGGAGCTGCTCTCTAATAATGTATGAATACTGAATGTTGGCTTGGTTATTGGCTGTTTACTGTATGACTGTATTGGTTTAGTTTAATGGCAGACGGTAAGGAAACAATCAAGAAGGAAAGAATAGCTCAAGATAGGCCACACGCTCAAACACTTGAGGGTTGTTATAGGACAATGGTAGAGCCATAGGGGATAAGCCTAAAACACACAGTTTGTCATGTCAACATTACTCACTTGACATGTAGTCTGAACTCCCCTCTTGCTCCTGGGAGGCGGTCCCTTCCACTCATGCTAGACTGAAGCAACTGGGCAGGGCAGCATGGGGGAGCTTGCACGCTCTCTGTTCTGCTAACACACATTCTCTCCAGGGCTGCCAATCCAATACCTTCTATCAGTACATAAATCACTCTGTTTAAAAGATCAGAACATAGAAAGGATTGGAAAAAATCCAGGCACATGCTGTGCTGAGCGGCAGGCATTCACTTCACTACTGCCAACAGCTTGCGAGAAAACATTCAGGGAGAAATTCAGTGCAACTGCTCTTGGGACCAGAAAGGGGCTCAGAGTGCACAAAGGGCTCAACCACCCTCATCACTATTGATCATATCTTATAAAGCCCTTGGTTCTACGTGAGTTAACTTAGAAATCCTACTTCCATGTCCATTAAATGCAAGCTGTCTGTGCCTTAAAGAACGACTAGGTCACTTGTTTCAATATCACAGAACTCCAGCAACAATCAGAGCATGGTATTGATGGCAGTTCTCTGCAGTCCTGAACCCTGCCTTCCAAACCGAAGGACCACCTTTGGTTTCTGCAGCCACACTCCACATAATTGTGATCACTGCTCCACACGGTGTCCTGGCCAAGGGCATTCAGCTGTGCCAGTGGTTAGAGTGAAAAGGAAAAAGACAAGGGATATTTAAAAAGAGCAATTCAGGATACCTCTACACTACAGCTGGGAGCATGCTGCCCAGCTCAGGTAGACATAAAAATGCAACCTCTGTTCAAGCTACCATGCTACAAATAGTAGTGTGCTCACTGGTGGTGGCTTAGGCTAGTTGTCCAAGTACGTACCCAGGGGATCAGGGTGGGTTTGTACGAGGGTGGCTAGCCCCAGCTACATGACTATTTCTAGTGCACTAGCCCAAGCACAGCTATCTATCTACTCGTGCGGGGATGCACGCTGACAGCTGCAATGACGATGTATCCTTTGCGAGAATGCAGGGCTCTGTATTCTGTAAAGCCGCAGACTGCCATCTCGACACCTTCAGCCATCGCTACAACGAGTGGGACTTCTGAAGTCTCACACTCCACTTTCAGGAGCCGATTCCCAGGGTCATTGTCCAAGCCAATAAATGGGCTTTGAAAACGAAGTCTTTCCATTAGCAATAGCGTGTAATATCAGCATTGCTTCTGATGAGAGGAATCATCTGTGGAGATGAATGATGTGGTGTAACTAAACTTACCGTGGACTTGTCCTGCTGGCTTGCTGTTTTCTGGTTTGGTCACCCCTTTCAAATCAAGCTGAGGGCCTGTAAAGTTCTAAAAATCTTAATAAGAAAAGGAGGACTTGTGGCACCTTAGAGACTAACAAATTTATTTGAGCATAAGCTTTCGTGAGCTACAGCTCACTTGCTTATGCTCATATAAATTGGTTAGTCTCTAAGGTGCCACAAGTCCTCCTTTTCTTTTTGCGAATACAGACTAACACGGCTGCTACTCTGAAAAAAATCTTAATGTACACAAAAGGCGCTAAAACCCAACATGACTCATCAGCCCAGAGTTTGCTTTGCTGGGCAGAACATAACCTCATAGGATGACACCACTGCATCTTTTGAAGATGTTCCAAAACGCTGCTGCTGCTTTTTTTTCTTTTACTTTTATTTTAAAGAGAGAGAGAGAGTAGAAAGGAGATACAAGGATAGGAGAAGATATGCTTTTTATTATTATTATTAAAGAAAATACAACTGATCCCATTTTTATTCATTTGCCAAATACAAGAGACAAACTGAAATCTTCTAGGTGATTGCGCATTCCTGCATTCATTATGAGCCTCCACTTCGGTTTCCTTAACATACTAACCTTTTATTGAATCACACAAAGACGATTCCAAGACGAAAGAACAAACTCACTCAGTAACCAGAAGTTATACAGCAGCTCTTTTCTAAGTGGGCAGACACACATGTGCAAGTTAGAAAATTCATTGCAACGAGGCATCACTTCTGTCTACTTCGAACACAGCAGGCACTTTGTATTCTAATTAATTTACGTGCAGTGGACACCTAAATAATGCTCATTACTTTATTGGCATGTAATACGGTTCCAACAACAGGCCTACTAAAGGTTTTTGATGGCACTCTAGAAGTGTATAACCTTAAATGTTATATCCTTCCCAACATCTCTTGGTTGATTTAAAATTCTAAGACATCAAATCTTATACCAAGAATTATGGTAGGAATAGGGAACATGTTAGAATTAAGTAAGCCCAGGAAAAGACAGCAAGAGGACGGTGGCTGAGAGCCATATAAGTAGGCACATGTTCTTGTATTAGACAATTCTTATGAACAACAGTTAACTCAATTATTTAATTTCCCCTTGATCAAGAACACAAACCTAGAACTACATTTGTAATGAGAGTTGGCACCACGGTGTGACTGTTCACTATGGGTCCAGATTCTTTTGCACATGCCTGAAAATTAAGCTATGCATCATCCAAATGCTGTGTAACGTCAGTTCTGACTACCCCCAAACTTTGGGAAGTTCAGATCTAAACATCATGGATAATGCTAATTCCATAATGAGCAAAGCCAAAACCCAAGCACACATTAAAAGTTATCACACCAGCTTTTATTAACCGCAACGTTTTGGATATTTGGATCCAGATCCAAATTTTACAGCTAGGGCTGACACATGGTTTCATAGACATGAGAAGTGTGCAAAAATGGCTTTCAACACCTAGCTCCTGATGTCAGATATCAATTCTTCCTGGTGCCAGAGGGGCCAAAACAGGTAGGAAGGACAATATTTTCAAGCTTATACAGCTAGAGTAAAAGGGAAAGGGGGGACTAGAAAGAACTGCCCTTACTTTATTCTGGGGCAACTCCTTTCTTACAATTTTCCCCACATTTAGTTTTGTAGTCTGTTATCATGGCTTGGGGATAACATCAGTTGTAATAACTGATACATTCTCTATATCCTCTGCTTTCAAGAGTAGGGATGCCATGTTCTAATAAGACTTCCACCTCGAGCTAACATGAACCTATAACACACTTTTCCTCCACCCAGTAATGCAGAAAATTCAATATGCGGATAGCCTGAAATGCCCCTCCAGTCAACCAGGAGGTGTCAGAGATCAGCAAGTTTGATACCACCTCCATGCACTCATCCTACCCTAGAGACAAAATCTCATCTCCCACCCCAATGTAGCCAAATTGTTTCTTTCATCTCTCAATGTAAATATTGGTGCTGTCTGTTAAAGAGCATACTAAAATTTTTCAGCAGGTTGATTTTTTATTTAAAGAAGTCTAATCCCTTTCATGCATCCCACCCAAGCAGTTACACTTCTTTTCTGATAAATATTTAATTTGCTAGCTGTAGTGAGTGAACAAAGGGAAAAAACTGAAGGTCTGATCAGGCAAATTTTGAAAAAAGCATCAGAGGTTAAAGACTGCAAATCAAGCTCTCTGCTCTGGTCTACACTACAGAATTACTTCAGTGTAACTACGTTGCTCAGGGTTGTGAATAATCCACACCTCTGAGTGACGTAGTTACACCGACCTAAGTGGCAGTGTAGACTGTGCTATACCAGCAGGAGACCTGTGGTGGATTAACTAAGCCAATGGGAGAAGCTTTCTCGTGTCAGCTTAGAGCATCTTCATTAAAGCACAGCAGCTGCGCCAATGCAGACCTACCTTCAGGCTCAAATGCCTCAGGAAAAGAATTTCACAGCTTTCAAGAATAACTACCCACAGGTTCTTTACACTCACTCAGTCATTGCCAGTCTGAAAGAGCCCTGCCTCAACAAGCCATACGGTAGTCCTGCAGTTTCAGAGCAGTTAGCGGTGACCAGATGTCCCAATTTTATAGGGACAGTCCTGATATTTGGGGCTTTTTTAAATATGGGCTCCTATTACCCCCCACACCCTGTCCTGATTTTTCACACTTGCTGTCTGGTCACAAGCAAAACTCAGAGCATCTAGCCTTTTAGATGGCTGGGATCAGTAGCAGCATAGTTAAAAAATCTCTCTGCAGCATGACAATAAAAAAAGCATGCATTGGAAAAATACTGGAGTGAAGTGTTGCCTTGTGCACCTCTGATTTCTACCATGAAGTCCTATTTTCATGAACTTGCACACAGGCAGGTAAGATTTCAGGAAATCAGAGCTGGAATCGGTTTTATCAAGGAATTCTGCAAAAAAAGCTATTTGCCATCTCTCACTCAATATATTGAGTATCGAACTCTCACAGTGAGTTTTTTGGTTTTTGTTTTTTTCAAAGAACAGCGAGTTTTAGTTCCGATTTGACAGTTACGGAATTATTCACAGAACAGACAATGCAGTGCAGGGAAAGCTTCATAATGCTGCCCCAAACATGCCTTACCCTCTAACAGAAGAGATAGATACTATAGGCTCCATGGCCCTTTAAAATCTCGGCCTCTCTGCCAAGACTGTTAGGAGCCTATTGTGGTGGTGATTCTGTGATGTGGGCACCTGTTAGTGGTAGCAACTTTCCATCACTGCTTACCCTAGGCTAGAGTCAGCCTGGATGTTGAAGGTGTCAGATTCCTTTACTGAATCTCACAGCCATTCAGTTCCAAACTCTTTTACTATCTTCCATTATCTTAAAAGATATAATTCTTGGCCAGAAAGGTAGTAACAGTCAAAACAAAATACACCCTGGTCAATTCATAGTTATGGTGTATAGCTGCATGTGAATGTGATGTGTGACTTACGAAGGAATGTAGAACCTTTAGTATAGCATGAATATATGCAAATTCTCAAAAAAACAAATAAAATATGAAGAAAAATTATCTAATACAAAGTGGCAAACCAATAAAAGTTTGTGTAATTAAATTGACCAGATGACAAAGTTCTGGCCTCTGGTTCTGGTGTACACCTGCCACTGAACTCTGTAAGTACCACAGAGGCAGAATTTGGTCCCAAGTATTACGACTTGTCAACACTTGGAAGTTTTGGAATAGCTATTCCAGAATAATTATTTTGGTATAAGTCACTATGCGGACACTTTTATTCTGGAGGAAAAGTGTCTTTTTCCAGTTTAATTTAATCAAGTTACATGGGGCCAACTCCTATTTCCTTACTGAGGACTTCAGGATTTAGCCCCATGGGTTTTTTTGTTTCTAGATGAAGTACTGCTAATTATTTCTATGAGAGCTTTACACTGTGTGTATTTTAAGTTCCAATGAGCTTTCTATTGTTACCAGATTGGTCTGGGGTTTGCCCTTTCTGAAAACGAGGGTAAATTTAGGGCATAAGAGATTGATGTGCTTGTTGTCAGTTGTCCCTAGTGAAGACATGGCTGCAGAGTTATCAAATATATGAATGATTAATAATTGCCCTTGCAATTTAGCTTGTTCACCTACAAGAGTTTGCAAGAGCCCTTTAGATTTATCCGCACAGCACACTGTACAACCAGAGGCATTTTTGGTATTTTTCTAGTTCCCCTTACTCCATCCCATAATGAGGTGCTACATTTTGGAAAGTCTAGGAAGACTGGCTGAACCAGTGCAGCAGCAAAGGGTGAAAGACATTGCTGACTCCACCAGTTCCATCATGCTTGAACCAAAGCTGTCAATCCAGGCATTGCCAATAACCGGTACAAAACACTGGGAAAATGCCATGAAAGGCTGCTATATGTGGACACATGATCTCATGTTGCAAGCTCAAGCTGTTCCAGCACTTTCACTCGGAATCCATCAGTGACTATAAGACTTCATCTGCACCATTTCACTTTCCAGTCAGAATTTTAGTGGAAGAATGTCGTCAGTTGCTTCTACAGCTGGGAAGAGTTGGTTAGTATTTCAGAATCCAGATCGTTTTGGACCCTGACATACTAGGTTACGGTTGAATGTCCTGCAGAAGTTGCTCCGAGTTAGTTATCCATTTTTCCCCCGTGATTGTTTAACGTTGTAATTTATTAAACTTCCATAACAGAAAGTTCTGCCCCTCCTAGTTACACTTGTTCAATTCCACAGCCAGCCTTTGCCTTCCATTCTCATAAATAAGGACATGGGGATACAGAATCCCCAGCTATGTTTGTACTTGCCCTGATTTTCCAAGCTTTTAGACAGACAACTCATAATCCTGCTGAGAATTTACAGTAACCCCATTCCCCATCTCAACTAGACATTCCACCTTAAATGGGTTTTGTTGTCTTCTTTGGGATAATATCCGTTTCTGTGACAGCTCTATACTCCTGGCTTCTGGAGCTACTAAGCTCCTCAGAGCTCTCGTGCCAGTCTCACAGATGGGGGTGGAGGTTTGCCATATGCCATTTCAGTAGCAGGTTTTGACTCTCAGTCAAAAGCATCATAAAAATCAGTACACAGGTTTTTCCTTCCATATGGAAGGATTGTTATTTGGCCTTTTCCTCCAACTGTAGCTTCATCAGGCAAAAGGAAAAGAGGCAGTGGCTCCTTCACGCTTTGGGGAGCTCATCCTGGAGTTCATCTTCACTTGAAACGTAGCCTTTGTTCTCAGTACCTGGAAAACAGAGTCTGAGTCAAAAGATGTGGCTACTACTTAACAGAATATTTGTGATAAGGGAACATTATACATAATTTTTCACTTCCGAACCTAGATCCTTGTATGAAATGAGAGAGAATTTATAGGAATTGTTGCATAAGACCAGAAATGGTCCTTCTGATCTGGCATTTTGCCGGAGAAAGGCTGATATCATGATCTGGAGAAAGACCTAAAACTCCCACAGTGTGTTGAATTCTGCAATACTTACAATAATGCGATCTTATTACGTCATCTTATTGTAGTATTGCCAAGTTACTTGAGGAATTGCCAGGAATGGCAATTTGCTGATTTTCAGGGCACATTGCAAAGTCTATTGTCCCAAGGCATGAGGAATTTGTTTAGTCTGCTACTGTGGTTGATTGGTTTTGCTGCGGGTTTGAGCTGAACAGACTGTCCTTTGTTATGTCACATACTTAGAGTGTATTTTAGTTTGGGGTACAAACAGCTATGGCAGTTGGATAGGCTGATAGAGGAAATTACAACTGGACATAGAAACCTCTGCAAAGTTGCTGGGCTTCCTCACGATCTTTCTCAACATGAAGGGCTGTCAGGAGGAAAAAGCCTCCCCCAAGGACACCAATGAAGGTACTCAGGATGAAGCTGTATTGCAGGCTCCGGAAGGCCCCCAGGTGTGAGTCATTCTGCCTGGTCTGGAGAGCATCAGAGATCTAGGGGGGGAACACAGTGTCATTTACTTTGGACTCAATGGCTTATTTTCTCCCTGTTTTAAACATGTTGCTCGCAATGCCGTCTCTGACAAGAACAAGACTGAGAGGGCAGGAAAAGAAAACTCACTGCCTGCATGCGCTAGATCTGGTAACACACATAAACTGTCCTTCACTGCATCTCAGTATTCACTCGGCTTAGAAGTCTCATGCAATCGGGTTGTTGCATATGTCCAGAGCTTCCAGTTTCACATGAGCTGGAAATAGTTGCAACCATGGCAGGGCAGAGTGCTCGTGCACTAGCCATTAACTCATTTGACTGCGTTTCCCGCTTTGTCTCCATAAAACAAGCTTGAGCCACATTTCAAGTTTGTACAAAGGTTTGAATCATTTCTTGCATTATCAGAACGTCTTCACCCATCCCTCATCCAAGCTTTTACTTTTGACAGATGGGTGGGTGTCAAAGCTGGCACTGTTGGCAGAAGTAGGCGGAAGCAGCAGTAAGAGACAAGAAGAGAAGGGAAGAGCTATGAAGGGGCTTCAGGGTGAGGAAAGGGAGTCTGATTCTGAACAAGGAAGCGTTCAAGATGAGGTGGGGTGACAGGGTAAGGAAAGGAAAGGAAAGGAAAGGAAAGGAAAAGGCACACACACCTGATTGGAATCGACGTGAACAAGCATTCGAAGAACTCAAGGCTCATACCCAGGTGCTTCTCAGAGAACGTGCCGCTGCTGTCCTGGCACTCATGTGCAATGCAGCTTTCCCGAGCTATCCAGTAAGAGCTTATTGCTACTGTGTAAAGGTTACTGCACATCAGAGTGATTTTCAAAGTAGAGCCATACAATCAAAACCAGCATTCATCAGACCACTCACATATACTTTTCTTCAGTGAGCATATTTCTCCCAAATTTCAATTGGCTATCCCATTTTGGCACTGGCGCCACTGAACCTTTCAGTTATTTTTGGAAGTGACAAAGTTCATTCCCACTCCTTGAACTCTCTTCTTTTCCTCAGTCTTTCTACCTCTTGTCTTTCTGTGTGAATATTTTGAAAGTTTGAGTCCAGAAAGGTAAAGTTTTGGAAAGTTAGGAGCATTTGAGACCAGGGGCTTGGCATGCCAATCATTGGAATGCCAATGCAATCTCAACTACAGCAATCCCCCTGCTATTACAAGAGTTGCATATTTTGAGTTTTCCAGAAGGTATTTCGCAGAATGAGATCTTGCCTGCAGATTTTATTTAATTGTATTTTTCATTTTGAAGTGCAAAATGGTATTTTATTAGTTCCCATGAACTTGTCCATTAACCTGGCAGAAAAGTTTTGCACTTGGATTTAAACACTCTGAACAAGTGCCATTGCCATAATCAGACTGCTACCAAATCCTTATGAATTAGTATAGTTGATATCAAAGTGAAGTCCTAAGCCTGCAGACACTTTTGTACTCAATGGGATTAATGGTACGTATAGAGTTAAGCTTGTACTTAAGGGTTTGCAGGGCCAGGAGGACAATAGTGATATAAAAGTGCTTAGTACAGTAGTGCTGGTTTAAGTTGCATCTGGATTCCAATTCCACACTGCAAGAAAGAGTATTCAAAGCATTTCCAATCTGGGACCAGGAATCAGAGTCTATTCTTCAGAAATTTCCAAATGTTTTATATTTAAAAAGGTTTGGATAAGATTCAGAGAAGTAGCCACAAAATCCCATTACTTACAATTCCAGTGAGGTATGGGCTGCCTGCATCTCCCAGCAAATGGCTCATGAAAATCTGCAAGGCAACAGCTGTTGACTGGCACTTTGGCATCACCACATACTGAAACCAAACAAGAGGATCATCAATATTTGAAGAATCAATAATTCCACGAATGACCTGCACAGATCTAGGCTACAGGTAACACTGCAAGCTGCAGACTACTTTCTGTGATTGGTTTTGAGAAACTATTCCGTGAGAAAAATTCAGAAGAAAGAATGAAGGTGAAATGGGGAGAATGTGACACTCCATTAATAGCCTTCCCCCTCCCTTCCTCCTTCTTCCCCCCATAACTGGAGAGCAGTTAGCTGGCCACTTCACCTTGAATGGTCCATTGTCTAGCATAAGGAGTTAACACGTTTCAATATGTTTCACAGATTGTCTCTCTCTCCAAGAGACGTTGGCCAATAAAAGACCTCACCCACACTGACTCTCAATGCAGCATGTACCGATCCATTCTGCCACGTGATTTTTGCTTTTATAGATGATGCTGAATGATAGCCGTTGTGGCTTTATTGACGTACCTGTAACCCTTCTGCCCGCCAGAGTTGGCAGCAACAAGGGCTGGGTTCAATATCTAGGGGATCCATTCCAATAACACAATGCAAACCGGCTCGAGCCCCCACCCAGTGACCTGGGACAAATATATACCATCCCCGCTGGGCGCCTCCAAGAGGCAATACTTCCCCTCTCGCAAGCACATACTCTGAGTGTAGCAAAAAGCCTTTTAATAACAGAGAGAAACAATGTGGCATTATGTTGGGGAAACACCACCAAGAGGATTCATAACACAACCCATGAGCAAAAAAAACCCTCCCCAAGCAAATTGGGGCATGCCCCTTTCCCTTTGGTTCTTGAGTCCAGCAACCCCAAATCACCCAAAGTCCCAAAAGTCCAATGACCCAAAAGTCTCTGTCCCTGGTCAGGGCAGCCCCAGAGTTCGAAAGTTTATCTGCGGAGCTTTACCTCCCAACCTGGGTGGAGATGGGATGGGGGTAAGAGGCACCTTACATGATCTGAAGCTGACCGCCCCACAGCTCCATAGGCCTTCGCTTCGCTCTGCTCCGCCAGCCGCCCCACAAACTGCTCCGCGTCCCACCAGCAGCTCCCGCCGTCCTATGAACTGCTCCACCAGCCTGTCCACAAGGCACTCCAGCCGTCCCGCAAACTGCTCCACAATATATCTTCAGGCTCCCCCACTACTTAAGACTCAGTGATTTCAGCTCTTAGTCAGTTCAGCTCTTTGGTGAATTCAGCTTGTAGTAGGGGAGCCTCAGTGCTGGTGCCCCATTAGCCCAAAGTGAGCTCAGCAGCCTGTAACTAGGCTCCTAATGAAATCAAAATTAGCTCTGATATTCCACAGTGGAGAGAGGAGGAAGTGCAATTAGCATGTAAGGCCCTCACCAAGGGGCCCATGCCACCAAGTATTAATACTTGTCCCTAGCCTCTCTCAATTCACAGAGTTTTGGAACCCATGACTCTTGCCTAGCGAGTGCTACTTAGTTGATGGTGAGTCCCTCCATCATAACAAAAGGCCAAGTACAGTTCCAAGCACAGTTCCCATAATCAGGGTAATAACAATTTATTCTTCCTGCCCCAATAACAGAGACACTGGGGATCCCACAGCAGCCAAAGTGACCATCTGGGCAGCTATGGCCTCATTCTAGGCGGAGTGGGTGTGCCTGTGCAAATGAGATCGGCCCCTGAAGTTCTTTTCCACAACTTGCCACAACTCACCACCAGATGTCAGGGTGGAGCTCATCCTGACACTGCTTACATACCCATAAGCAGATACTTGCTCTTCAGTTTTCTATGTACTTTCATCCACTCTATGTGGTCAGTTTGCCTGGCGTAGAAGGACTGCCTCTTGGATTGAGGGTACTTGTGATTGCAGACTAAGTCTGGAATCTCTGCCAAGACTAACAAGGATGCCAGCCAAGATGAAACATTATGCATTCCAAGTCACTAGGGATGAAGCTGAAACTTTTCATACAGTGCATCAAAAAGGTGTTAGATGCTGGCAATTCTACCTGTCGGTCCACCATCGTAGTGAGGTAAGTATCACCTGGGGAATGGCAACAATCTTCTTCAGGGCGGTCTCTGGACTGGGAATAGACAGTCCCTAGCCATTGTTGTAGGGGCCACATTCGGAGCCTGGCATGGCAGACCACGTAAGTGCATGCTGCCATGTGACCCAGGAGGCGCAGACAGGTGCTGTAGTCAGAGGGTATGCAGAGACTTCTGCGATGAGGTTTGTCAACATGTGGGACCTTTCAAGAAGCAGGAACACCCTGGCGCAGGTCGAGTCGAGGACAGCTCCAATGATCTCTGTCCTCTGCACCGGCACTAATGTTGACTTTTTGTCGTTTACCAGTAGGCCCAGAGAGCAGCACATGGCCTGAAGTACTGCAACATCCCTTTGGACTTGAGACCTGGAGCTGCCCTTGACGAGCCAGTTGTTGAGGTACGGGTAGATCTGAATACCCCGGCGCCTGAGGTAAGCTGCTACCACTTACATGCACTTGGTAAACACTCTCAGTGCTGTTGTCAAGCCGAACGGGAGGACCGCAAACTGGTAGTGGTGGGGCCCCACCATAAACTGGAGGAAGCATCTGTGCCCTTGAAAGATCACTATGTGGAAGTATGCGTTCTTCAAGTTGAGGCAGCATACCAGTCTCCCAGATCCAGGGAGGGGATAATAGAAGCCAGGGAAACCATGCAGAACTTTAACTTCTTTAGGTACTTGTTGAGGTCTCACAGATCCAGGAGGGGCTGTAGACCACCCTTGGCCTTTGGGATTAAAAAGTACCGGGAATAGAACCCCTTGTTTGTTTCTGTACTCGAGAGGAACTTCTTCCACTGCACCCAGCTGTAGTAACCCCTCTACTTCCTGCACGAGGAAGCTCTCGTGAGATGGCTTCTTCGGATCCCTGAAGAGGGATGGGGAAGGCGTGGGGGAAGGGGGATTAGAATGGAATTGAAGGGTATAACCCTGTTTCACTGTGCTGAGGACTCATTTGTCTGAGCTTATAGCCGTCCAGGCAGGGAGAAAGAGGGAAAGGCGGTTGGAGAACACACGGAGGGATGGATCCAAGGAATAGTCTGGTAGGTCGCCCTCGGGTGCACCCTCAAAATGACCGTTTGGGTCCCTGCTTATTACGGGTCGAGCCTGATTGGGCAGAGGGTGGAGGCAGCTGGCTCGGGCCGCACTTGTAGCCCTTGGCTCATTTATGGGGCAGGTCCTGCTGAGGCTGGCTCCCCTGACCCTGCAGCTGCTGTGGTTTGAACTGCTTACGCACCAGTCTTGGGACGTAGAGACCCAAGATTTTCAAGGTGGTGCAGGAGTCTTTGAGGCCATGCAATTTGCTGTCTGTTTGCTCTGCAAATAGGGCCCGGATGTCAAAGGACAGGTCCTGCATTGACTGATGAGCCTTGGTGGACAACCCAGAGAGGAGCAGCCAAGAAGGTCGCCTCATGGAGATAGCAGAAGCCATGGTGCGGGAAGCAGCATCAGCAGCATCTGACGCCACTTGGAGGGCCACCCTTGCCGCGGTCGTGTCCTCATCGAGGATCGCTCAGAACTCCTTCTTGGAAGCTTCGGGGAGCGACCCTTCGAATTTGGCTATGGCTTGCCACATATTAAAGTCATATCGGCCAAGGAGGGCTTGGTGGTTGGCCCTCTCAGCTGAAGTCTGGAAGATAAGTAAACCTAACGTCTGAAAAGATCCAGCCTCCTCGAGTCTTTATTTTTGGGAGTGACTCAGGGCATTAGTGATTTTGGAAATCCCTTCATGAAGGGGTAGAGCCACCTGGCAGGAGGCGAGGAGCAGAGGACGTCAAACGGAGTCCGAGGGCTCTTCCAATTCCTCTGCCTGAAGCCCCAGGTTAGAAGCGACCCTCTTCAAAAGCTCCTGGTGCACCTTGGCGTCATTCTGAGGAACTGGGTGAGGGGCCCTGTGATAGCCTCGTGTGGCGACAATGAGGACGATGCTAGTGCTGCAGGAACCTCCACATCCATTGGTGGTCCAACAGCTTGCTCCCCTGGGTCCCCCTGGACCTGCAGGGTCTTACCCCCCGAAGTCTCCAGCACCAGAGGGGGACGGGATAACGAGGCCACTGACCTCTCCGAGGCTCGCGACACTGATCAGGCAGCCTAGGAAGGCTGCGTGAACCCCCAAAGGCTCCACGGGTACCATGGCGCCAGCCATTGCACTTGTAGCCATGGGACAGGTTTCGGTACTGATAATGTAGTTAGCACCGTCAGAACCGGGACTTGTCCTGAGCCAGAGCTACCAGCGGAGCGGTTGGTCTTGGGCGACCATGATCAGGCTGAACGGTGGCTCTTGTCTGACCAGTGCCGTTTGCTGCGTCCCGAAGCTGACCTGCCAAGCAAGACTGTCTTGGTCAGCTTTCAGGGACCAACGGTGTTCGGTGGATCTGCATCAGATACCTGGCGATCCATGCCTCACGTACCAGGACGTTGAACGGGACTGGGAGCTGCTACGAGCCGGTTGCTGGGAGGATCGTCCTGAGTAGGGCGACCTTCCTTTTGGAGATGGGCGATGATGGCCCGGCAATTGGCAGTCTCTGGTGCCCGATTGGTCCCGGGATCAGTCCTGGGCCCTTAAAGATGGTTGGGGCCAGGCCCAGAGTTCTTGCTGGGTAGCACGTGCCTCAGAGGGTCTGCGCCAATCTACCGGCGAGGTATGCCTCGAGTGCCACGATCGGTGCCCCTGGTGCGGGGACCGAAGAGGGGTCCAGTGAGCCTACCTCTCCCATCCTGAGGTGTGACAGCTGCGGGCGGGCAAACGCTGGTGGGATGTCCCTCCTGATGGGGAACAGTACTGCTGAGGCATGGACACACGCATAGGTCCCAACGTGGGTTTTCCGCGAGATCAGGGTATAACAGGAGCCGGTGAGGGCAGCACTGGGAGCGTCAGGATCTCCTGAGCTGCTTAAAGGGCTTTGGTCATCGATGGCACCTGAAGCTGGCTGAGGCCTGCACCACTATCTGGAGTCGCAGGCAAGGCCTGGGATGGGCTGCACCACTCGACTTGAGCTGG